ATCATTCTTTCAATTTTATACTATCAAAGATTAAGACAGCAAGGTACATAAAACAGATTCCTCTTAAAAATTAATACTTAAAGTAAAATAAATTTTTAAATAAATACTAACTACAAACCAGATAGACATGTATAATATATATGATTGTTTCTTGCTTGGATGATGGATGAATATATATGTTCAACAAGAAAGTGACTACCTTAAAATTTTAAAAATCAAGCTGGTCAATTTCCATCAGTTTTTAAAGACATCACTAAATGTAACAGTTTAACTTAAAGTGAAGTTTAAATATGTCAGTGTTCTATGTGAACCATGATTACAACTAGATTTTTAATATTTTCAAAATCTTCTCTGCCTCTCCAAGTGTTGTCAAATCATGTTATCCAATGAAAAGTGTATGCATAAATTTGAATTATGTTGCTAATAATACATTATTCTCTATCATTGATAATACCCTTGAGAACATTTCCCTGTAGACTATTGATATATTTTCTAATGATACTCAAAATTCAAAATAAAGACTTAAAAAAAAAAAGTAATGGAAATATAGCCAACGTCATATTTTAATGATGTTCAGACCTTCATTGCGTCAAGCATTAGAGATATGTAAATATAATGTAACTCATTAAATGCAGTGAATTTTCTGATGAGTTTTAGTAATTTAAATGCAATTATACATGCTAACAGCTCAAAGATTTAAATTTTCATTTTCAGGAATCTTCTATTTGGTTAGTGCCACCCTACCATCCAGACACTGTTTAGTAAACTTTTGAAACTTACTAAAAGAGGTTTTTAATAATGGTTAGTATCCTTGTGCCTTTACTTTTTTTCTTTTTGTAGTCTGTTGTATTAATGTGGAGAGACATTTTTGGTTGTTATTTTTACCCTAAGAGATTACCGTATTTGATGACACAACCTGTGGATTTCATCCCCTAGAGAGGAGTGATTTGAAATTCAAGAAAACGTTTGGCCTTCTTTTTCACTTGATTTTTTCTTTCTTTCTTCTCTCTCTCCTTTCTTTCTTTCCTTCTTTTCGTTATAATCTGATGAACTCCTGTTTTAAGTGCACTTGAGTTTTCCAAAGTCTTGTTTCATGGCCCAATAAATAGACTTTAAAAAATCTCAATGAGTAGGTAGGAAAGATAATTTTCTCTATTGTATAGAAAACTTTATTTAAAAGAAAGAGTAATTTTTGGCAACAGGTAACATGGGAAAATAACTATGTTTCAGAAAAACATCTGTAGATTCAACTTTATATTCTTATGTAGATTTAGTAATCTAATTTGAATTTTAAAACTCAAAAAGGAGAAGAATATTTCTTTGCATTATTAGTGCCACAAGTGAACAGTACCTTAGGGTATTGTACAATTCCTTTACGTTGTCACGTTGATTCTGATATCTTACATCAAAATTTTTCACAGTTTTACAAATATTTTGTAAATCAAAAGGAAAACTATTGTCTAATAGTAACTCTGTTAGTAACCAGAGATAAAAACTATTTTTCAGGTAACCTGACATTTATAGGTCGAAAAAGAGCTGGCAAAATTCAATTTATTCAAAGAAAATTAATAAAAAATGATAATTTGAAAACAAATAATCAAGGCTAAAGATTGTTTGATTAAATTTTTCACTTTCTGCTAGCTTTATAAAATATATACAGCCTGTAGGGTAATCATGGGGTTTTACATATGTACAATTTTGAGATAGTGTCTGAATTTTTAAATATAACTTATTTAAAATCGTTTTTATATAAGTTTTAACTATTCTAATCTTTGATTAAACAGATTCTCCACCCACATTTTTATATTAGTCTTATAAATGTAAAACTATATGGAATTGTTATAAGATAGTTTTGTATCTTTTATTTATAGTCTCAGGTAAGTATAAAATACTTATACAGGGTTTATTCCTTAACTTACTAGAAATAAAATCAAGTCATTTCATAGTTGAATGTGTAGATGTATTTATGATATTTTTTCTAATAAAATAATCTGGTAAGACCACTCTCTTAGTATAGACAAACTTAATATTTCCATGGATTATTTCTTGAAACTAATATAATCAAAATGTCTGAATATTAGAATTATCAAAAGAGACTGTTACAAGTTACTTAATATTTGGGAAGTACATTAGTTTGAAGTGAAGGCTCCTTTCAAATAATTCAATTTATTCACATCCTATAACATTTTTAAGTGTCATTTGGGATTAAGGTTTGACCTTGTACTATCATCTAATCATTTCTTCTGTTAAATGTTTCAACAGAGAGTCAAGACTAAGTTACCTCAAGACTATGTATCCCTTCCCCTTTTGGAGACAGATTTTTCCATTTCTACAGTGTTGTCACCATCACCATCTTCATCATCATTATCATCTTGTTCTTAATAAGTACATCTAATAGTACGTATTGAGCAACACATATGTCCACACACTGGCTGTTAGGTGCCATATAAATCATTCAATAGACACATAACTCATGAATTTCAGAATCTTGTAATTTAACTCATAATAAATATCACATGACAGTAACTCTGTAGTTAATGGGGAATTTACCCAAAGCATTTTATTACCCTACTATAAGTGCTAATAAATTAATATTTTTACTAAATTGGGAGCTCTGGTGGCATAATGCCTAAGGCATTAGACTGCTAACCAGAAGGCTGGAGGTTAAAACTCACCAGCCACTCCTTGGCAGGAAGATTTGGCAATCTACTTCTGTAGTGATACTGCCTCAGAAACCCAAGGAGGAGTCGTTATGAGTCAGATCTGACTCAATGGCAGTGAGAGTTGAGTTTATTAAATTAATGTTATTAAAAAAATAATAAAGTTTTGGCTGATTTGATTAGTTTCATGCAATGTATTTTATAAAGTTTCTACTCAGACTACAAAACAAAAAATTTATTTAAGCAATTGAATTTAAAATATTATTCAAAAAGGAAACATTTGGACCATGTGTCACTATTCTTGTTTATTCAGGTAGCATTTAAATAACATACATGTGTACAGTCTGTGCCATGAGAACTTGATCTCTGTTCTTTGCAGTGAGAGTGACAAATATAGAAGACGTAGACCAGATAGAAGAAATACATGATAATGAATGTAAAACATTGAGTGGATAAAACTAAACCCAAAGAACACTATGAACCTGGTTAATTACTGCAGATAAGGGATGAAGATACAGTGTATGAAACATGAGAGAATGCAACAGGACACTAGAACAGGGAGAAGAGGAGAGTATGGAGAGCCATTGTGAGGAAAAAAAAACAAAAAAACCTTATTTGGTTTGACCTGTTTCTTAGACATCATTGCTATAATAAATTGGTATTAAAAATATATTATCCTAGTATTTGCTAATTTTTTTAGAGAAGGAATAGGGTAGTTGCAGGGTTAGCAAGATGAAAGGGAAAATGAGGATCTAGCTAGAGATGGAGAAGAAGGAGCTAGAAGAGGCTCAAAAACGCCAGAGAACTCTACACAGGAATGTTCTGCTGGAGTCTCTAATGTAAGAGGCAGAAAATCACTCACCTTTTCTGTTAGCCAGTTTTCCTGTCACATGGATGACTAATATAATCCAAATATCATTTTTTAATGTCACAAAAGATTCTGCATACAAATTCCCTTTTTAAAAATATGACATATAACAAATATTAAATATTTTTATCCAGTATTCTCTAGGAATTAGGTTGAGTTGGCAGATAACAAAGCAGCAACATATAAAGCAAAAATAAAGTCAACCACATGCTTATTTGCTTTGGTTTATTTCATTTTATTTTCACATCACTTTTTGTAACTGTGTAGATTTTTCATACTGGTCCACATCTTTGGTTGTCCACATTTTTGATTCTTGTGCGGGAATGGCCTAAGTCTCAGACCATCTGGGTTTCAATACAATGCACAGCTGGTTTATGAATCTAATGCAACTAACACATAAGTATCCCAATCAGATGCAGAATGACTACCAAAATTTTGTTCCACATCTATGACTCTATAATATGAGTCTTGAATGAAACAACCAAAAGCCCAAACCCACTGCCACTGTGTTAATTTGACTCATAATGACCCCCATTGGGTTTCCAAGGCTCTAAATCTTTTGGGAAGTGTATTACCTCATCTTTCTTCTCCAGAGTGGCTGATGGGTTTGAACAGCCAACCTTCTGGTTAGCAGTCAAATGCTTTAGGCACTGTGACACCAGAGCTCCTTGAGGAGTGTGTAATAATGAATCACAAATACAGAATTTCTAGAAAATCTGTTTCTAGTGAAATGGTGACTAAGGAAATGGCATATCTGTGCTCATGTTTTATCCTCATGGAATAGGTTATTTACCAGCTTTCAGTTATCAAGCTGATAATGAAAAAAAATAATAATATTTCACAGCTTTCTAACATGGTAAAATTTGCCATTTTAGGATTAAATCACATTTATTTCTAATCACAATTAATGCTTTTTAGGTATAATTACAATGAAAGATATAGTGAAATGTCACAAATTATATTCATTTTTTTCTGTCTAATTGCAAGAGTGCTATTTTTCTTCTATTTTGAGACTCTCAATGAAAAGTCCATGTTTAAAAGTAATTTGTATATCACATGTTGTGATCTAAAGTGTTGTGTATTTTTTTTCTCAAGAATGGATTTCTGATTTGATATTTGTTTATATGTGTGTGTGTATGTATTTAAATTTTATGGTAGATATTAGCCTATAATGATAATCTATGTTATAGAGTGTCATCTGAAAATCTCATTCTCTCTATATGTAATATGTGTATTAGTCATTAGATGTTTATTTTAGTATCAGATGGAGATTTTCTTTAAGTCAACCCACCTTGATAATATATTTTAATTATCATTTATTATGTATTAAAGGTATAACAGGTTGTTTTAATATTTTTTCAAATCTCAAGGTTTTTATGTTTTTAAGAGTGTTCAGAATTATTTTAATATTGTTTCTGAGCAGTGGCAATTTATTGATTTTATAATATATAAATTTCTCTTTTCTTCTGTAGAGGTCCTTCTGTAGCGCCATGGTAGAAGAACTGAGGATGTCCCTGAAGTGCCAGCGTCGGTTAAAACACAAGCCACAGGCCCCAGTTATTGTGAAAACAGAAGAAGTTATCAACATGCACACATTTAATGACAGAAGGTTACCAGGTAAAGAAACCATGGCATAAAGCTGGGAGGCCAAACACCCAAGCACAAACTGTCGTCTTTTTTCCAAACAATTTAGCGAGAATGTTTCCTGTGGAAATATGCAATCTGTGCAAAATAAAAATGAGTTACCTCATGCCGCTGTGTCTATGAACTAGAGACTTTGTGATCTAAGCAGTTGCAATGATCAGACTTGATTTACAAGCATCATGGATCAACCAAGTTACACGGGGTTACACTGTTATCATGGGTTCCTCCCTTCTTCTGAGTGAATGTCATATGCGCATTTTGTGGCTGGTTTCCAATGCAGTCCAGAGAGAAATTATAGGTTCTTATTGAAGTCCAGCTGTTGCCAGGAGATGGAATATCAATGTCCAACAGGGTAACCAGTAAAAGAATCATTAAGAATACAAATACTTGAAATCAGCAAAAACTGTAATGTTACAAGAAACAGTACAGTCCTCTGAACTCCCAGATAATAGAGGTGATGATGTTACTAGCCCCCAACTACTCGGTATAATGATCATCTGAATAGACAATATGTGTTCATAGGATGTGAAAAAAAATATAATGCAAAGCAAATCTGAATTTCATGGCAAGTGGAATAAAAAGCAGATCATCATCAGTTTTATTTTTGTTTTTGACAGTCTGTGTCATCAATTGAAATAGAAATGTCAATTACCAAGGCAATAATATATTTTTTTCTTAAATTCACCAAGGCAGGAGCTTTAACACACAACTCTACTAGATTCCTACCAATCCCCTGCCCCTGACATACCCTTTCACCAACGTCACCCCAAGAATAAGAAAGTAACAGTTGGCTCAGTGATTCTGAGTTAAAAAGGATGATGTTTTGCAACATTTGTCATAAGTTGTAAAAGGGGGCTGAATAATAATAATGATGTGGAAGACTGAAGCTTTCATTCTAACATTCAGATATGTCAATCCAAACCTGTGTTCCTGCCACAAATGAACTTGATGGAGCCTGGGCAGATATTGATGATAAGAGAAAGGGGAGTGGTCATCTGTAGAAAAGTATACATGGAGAACTCTGAAGTGGACTGCATTTATCAATACAGTCACAGTATTAAATGAACAAAATTCTTGAGCAGTTTTTTTTCAAAAAAATGTTCAGGTTTATTTGTGGAAATGCAAGATTTCTATGAAAATAGTTTTTGTATGGAAATTTTTGTAATACCTTTTTATCAACAAATTAAGAACATGTGTTCCAGTCAGGGGTGTGATGTCAAGCATGAATGGTAGTGCGTGTGCACCACCAACGTTTGGTGAAAACTATTTTTATCAAGAAAAGAGGAATCATAGAAGAGAAATATTTTCAAGTTAGATAATATAAAAGCTAGGTGCACTACCACCACTGCTTACCATGCCACACCCCTGGTTTCCGCAAGGCTGATAACATACTGTAATGAACAATTGTGTGTAATATGGTAAAAGACACAGATCTCTTGACAACATTGTGATAACAGTTGAGTGCACACAGTTTGCTGTTTGAATTCAATGCACAAAATTAAAAAAAATCATTAAAATTATGTCCATTTTACTTTCAGCTTTGACTTTCATTTTTCTCTTGTATTTGTACATGAATGCACAATATCCTGCACTTTATCATTAAGGGAAAGCGCACACCTTGACTCTTTCTCGGTCCTCAAAGATAGACACTACCCATAGACCTAGAGAGAAAGAAGAACAAAACCTTGGGGGACTAGCTGCTAGGACCTAGAAAAAGCTAGACTGGGAGGTATAATGTGATCTTTACGTTGAGAGCAATTAAAATGAGGAAAAGAGCAATTCATGAGTGACAGTCATAGTCTTCTTCTGTAAATGGATGTTAACTATTTTATAGGGTATGAAAGACTATAGTGATTGCTGATTCATATTTGAAACTCAAGTCATATACAGTTTAAGATTTCCTTGTGCATTGATAATATATTGCTGTTCAGCAAAGAGGAAAATATAGGTGCAAAGTTAACAGTAATGATATGGTTTAGATGTTAGTACTCTAAGAGAATCTTTATAATAAATTATAATGCATACTTTACTAAGAAAAAAAAAAAATAGTGCCCATTGTAATCAAAACTCCTGACAAAAGAAAAAGGAAAATACACTGTATGAATTGTATTCTTCCATTTATAAGAAGTAGTACAAATTGTCTAGTATCTAAATTAAATTAGAAATTAAATGTCCAATAGTTTTAAAACTTTCTATTTCCAGGTTATTTTATATTTAAAAATGTATTTAAGTGATAATTGTTTCCCAAAATTTAATTTTAATTAATTATACAAATCACTGCTAAAAAAAATCTCAACATTGATGTTTAATGGTAAATAACATCAACAAATAACTAGTGAAGCAGTTTTGGATCATATTAAAAATTTTTGTCACTCAGATTCTAATCAGATTTTAAAGCACTTTTTAATATCAATTTCTCATTACAGTAAACTAACTTGAAAAAATAGTCAGGAAATAAGAGCTTCATTTTTTGTTAAGTATTCAGAAAATAATTATTTAGATTTTTGGTAAATTTGACATTTTATTCACATTTAATTAATTAAGTTAATTAATTTGGAAAATGTAAAAACCTGCTGTATCTTAACTTTATGAGGAATATAGAGTATATATAAATAATGTATAATACTTAATTTTTACCAATTTACTAAAGGTGTCTACATTATTGCCAAAACAGGTATCTCCCTACTCATTAAGTGCTAATGTACATAGAAGATCCTCATCTTGATTCTAATAAAATCCTGATTATCTGTAATTGGAAAGGATATAATATTACCATTTTCTTCTTACCATTTTTTTTCTAACTATATGTATAGGGAACTCTTTCACAATAAAAATAAATACGGTTTTAATTAAAAAAAAATCACAAAATGGGGCCCATAAACATTTATAAAATGGGGAATATTTCTACTTTTGTACCTGTCAAATAATGCTAAATTTGGAATTCAATGTAATGTATATCATTAGGGCTTAGGTCTAATTTAAAACACTCCAATGTCGATTTTATAAAGCTTAAGAAATGTGATACAATGTACATATGGAACATTTTCTTCAAGAACCTTTCTGAAGGGTAAAATTTTAAGAATCTCCTTTAATACATTACTACTTGTACCTTGTTTCAGATTTATTATGAAGCTAATTTAAAAACAGTTTTAAACAAATATATTTCCATTTCTTTACAAAAGAGGAGTTACTGTTTGCTTATATTTTTAACTAGAGTTCTACAATATTATACTTGTAAACAATATATCACTCTTCATTAACAATATATTTAACCTTAAGTTCAATCTGTAGAGTTTGTATGTGATATCTAATCCAACAATATTAATTACCTGAAAAATTTAACCTATATTCCACTCACCTTAACCAAAATTCAGAACTTAAAGAGGGGAGAAAAAAGACACACTACACTTAGGATTGTTTAATAATATTTTAAAGTATTTTAAATATTTATCTTGTGCCTCAATTCTATTTCCGAGATTGTCTTAAGGTTTAGATAGTTGCTGAGGTTCTAACCATTGTATCCACATTCCTACTAGGAGGAATGTAAAACAGGACATGAAAAAGTCTTGTTCCTTCCCTTAAGGATAAAAAACGTAAACCAAACCTACTGCCACCTAGTCACGGTTTCAACTCATGGTGACCCCATGTGCTACAGAGTAGAATGAGTCCATAGGGTTTTCTTGATTGTAATCTTTACAAAAGCAGATATCCATGTCTTTCTTCTACAGCACCACTGCTTGAGTTCAAACTGCCAAATGTTTAGGTTAATAGACAAAACACAAACCATTTTGCAACACCCAGGGAGGGACCCTGTAAGGATATGTTCCTCAAACTGCACACTCCACTGTTCCGAACTTAATAATTTACCCATTTGTGCTTGAAAATAGGTTGGGAAATAAATGTAGACTTTATTTCAGACAGTCAGGTGCCAGCTAAAAGATAAGATCTAAGGAAAAAATGGCAACAGATATGAGCAAACAGCTTGCAATCTCTGCCATCCCTGATGTCTTGTGGTCACTTACCCCAGCCCACCGAAATCTACCTTGTTCTGTTGACCACCTACTTTGCTCATCTCCTGTGCTGTCTACTACTTCTATTCCATTTTTATTGGATTCTCTCATATCTCATTTGTTTTCCTCTACATTTTTTACACTTCTTTCTTGGATTTTCTCTTATGACATCATTTTTATTTTATTTTATTTGAAACTTGATGAAAGAGAGCATTTGGCAAGAATTTTGCACACTATCTTTCTATTTAGTTATAGATACTGATCTACCTTATAATCACCATTACTTTAGATTCCTAAGATACTCTTTTTCTTTCTTTAAAAACCTTGACACCATGATTATAATTAGCCTGCTAACTCTGTGTCCTGCAAAAATCAGTGAACACACATTATAAACCAAGCTCTGTGTTTAATACCCACCAGCCCCTCCTCAGAAGGAAGGTTGGCAATCTACTTCCGTAGTGTTACTGCCTCGGAAACCCAAGGAGGGGTTGCTATGAATTGGATCCCAGTTAACAACAGTGAGAGTTTTTATGTTAGACACCAAGGATGCAATTATGATTAAAAAGGGACATGATACTTTTTAGTTTGGAGTCTAGAAGAGGAGGCAGGCCTTAATGAAATGTGTTAGTAAACAGTTGCTATGAATTGGATCCCAGTTAACAACAGTGAGAGTTTTTATGTTAGACACCAAGGATGCAATTATGATTAAAAAGGGACATGATACTTTTTAGTTTGGAGTCTAGAAGAGGAGGCAGGCCTTAATGAAATGTGTTAGTAAACACATAAATACAGTCTGAAAAGTGCCATCATAAGAAGTGCTTGTTTTAGGCAGACTTCTCTCACTAGGTCTCAAGTAATATAATTTGATAGTTGTAAATTTATAAAAGCTAACTTAAATTTATAATGCATACTCAGGGAAGTATTTATTGACATAGTGCAAATTATTATTAATTGGTATCTTCCTCACAGGAGTACCTGACTTCCTTTAGCTTTGTACTTTGGCACATGGTGGGATCCAGGTATGGAGAAAATAAGCCAAGACATAAACAATGTTGTTAGTATGTTACTATCATTGTATTACTCAGGCAGGCAATTTTTCATTATATGCAAAATATAATAGCATACTTTTAGTAAGTAGTTCACTGACATATCATTCTCAAATATAATGAGATTTTTCCTTTGACCTCACATAGGTGCAAGAAAGTATTTTCACAAGTTCTGCTATTATTAGAAACATTCTTGCTTTTCTTGCAGGACACAAGTAATCATTGCCTTAACACTGTGA